ACCCAGATACAGGCTCTGTATTAGTTTGCTTTCTATCTATCACTATGATAAAACACTGACACAGTCTTGGGGAGGAAAGGGCTTATTCGGGCTTACAAGTCTCAATTACAATCCTTCACCAAGGAAAGTCACAGCTGAAACAGAGATTAGAACTGTGGAAGAAAGCTGCTTACTGGCATGCTCTCCATGGCTTAGCCTGCTTTCTTACCCAACCCAGGACCCCACGCCTAGGGGTGGTCCCATGCCCGTGACCGGGCACTCCCACATCAACCATTAGTCAAGAAAATGCCCCACAGATTTGCTTACAGGCAATCTGATGGGGGGAACCGCCCCCCCTCCCCACTTCCCAGATGATTCTATCTGTGTCAAATTGTGAAACCAAAACTAACCAACTAACCAAAAAAATTAACAAGTACAAGCCCCTAAGCAGGAGTGGAGTACATCAAAACATGAGGAAGAGGGAATGGAGAGAATATTACGAGGTCCCTCTTCAGGACTTTACACATTAAGCCTTAAATTTTCCTTTCCTGTGTCCCTTCAGTCATTTGTACTCTTTCCTGGCTCTTCCCTCATCCTTCACTTAAACCAGCAGTTCTCAACACCTAATTGCTGGTGAGGGGTCGCATATCAGGTATCTTGCATATCAGATATTTACATTATGATTGATAACAGTAGCAAGATTACAGTTATAAAGTAACAACGAAAATAATTTTGTATGGGGGGTGGTGTCACCACAACAGGAGGAACTGTAAAGAGTCACAGCATTAGGATGGTTGAGAGCCACTGCCTTCTACCATAACACCATATCACACTCTCCATTTTCTTATCTTCTTCCCCCCCCCCATTCCTCTCCATGTTCCTTCCTCCTCACTTGCCTATGCCTTGCAAAGCAGATGGTTCGCAGCAGTAAGGTTCAGGCCAGATGATGACATTCTCTTGTCAAGTGAAGCCAGTCAGCTAGTCCATACACTGTGGGTACCTGCAACATGTGCACACAGTAGGAACTATGAAGTGAAGGTAAGTCAGATTCCTCCCACAATGACTCACAGTCTAGTGAGGAAGGTAGAGGGCTGACATATAAAGGTAAATAGCAATTGACCGTGGTGGTGCACACATGTAATCCCATTACATGGAAGGTAAAATGTCTACCTACCAAGGAATATATCAATAGATGATACAAAAAGTGGATTGGAAGCCAGGGCCTTGTAGATGATGGGTAAGCCCTCTACCACTTAACCGTATCCTTGGGATGCCAATTAGAATTTTGAACTTTGCAGGAACCACTCAGAAAAAGAACAAGGGAAAATAAGTTTCCATATTTTTTTTAGCCATTTTTGAAGAACTATAAATATCTTAATATCTACTACAAAGGTCATTGTAATGCTATTCGTGAAGTATTAGTTTATCATGCAGAATTGGCTGTTTGGTATTCATCATGTCCATAATTTTACATGCTTTAATTGTCTTCTCTTAAAAATGTTTATAGTAGGGGTGTTTTCAGTGCACCTATTTCTACACACCCATGCCTGCAATACTTGGAGAAAGCAGAAAAGGGCATCAGATCCTCAGGGACTGGAGTTACAGATGTTGAGGAGTGCAAGGCTGGTACTAGGCACTAAACCCAGGTCCAGTACAAGAGCAGCCAGGGCCTATGCTCTTAACTGCTGAGCCACCTCTCCAGTCTCATCTTGTTTTCAGCAGTAAAGCCACATTGCTTGTTCTTGAATACTTTTATTTATGGCTATTTGTGTGGGTGCCCACTTCTGGAGCAGTAGTTAGATACAGGCAGTTGTGAACTGCCTGGCATGTGCTTGGAACTGAACTTGGGTCCTGTGAAAGAAGAGCAAGCACTTTTGCAGCTAAGCAATCTCTCCAGATCCAACTGCTTGGTCTTACACAGTTTGGTTTTTTTGGCTGGTCTTTTGTTTGTTTGTTTCAAATTTTATTTCAGATAATTTTTTCATGAATCATGCTCTTTATTACAGAGGTTTTCAAAATGCCTTTGCCTCATCTCAAAAACAAAACAAAACAAAAACCAAACCAAAACAACAACAAAACCCACTATTGCCAAATTGTGCTTTTTTAAATGTGTATGACTGATCTGTGTATATCTGTGAACCACTTGTGTGCCTTGTGCTTCTGCAGGCCACAAGAGGATGTTAGGTTCCCTAGAATTGGAGTAAGAGGTTGTGAGCTACCATGTGGGTGCTGGGAATTGAACCTGGCTCATCTACAAGAGCAGCCAGTGCTATTAACCTCTGGGTCACCCTTCCAGCCCCTACCTTAGGTTTTAGTAATTTACCAGCATCACTGTTATCAGACATCAATAATAAAAGGCCCTGCTATTTTTTTTTATTAATCTTAATCATATTATTTGTATTTGATATCTTCAGTGATGATTTCTCTTCCACAGTACCTTTAAATAATGACACTTCAACATCTAAGCTCATACCTGTGTTGAGAACAAGCAAAAGAAACTTAGAGTAAGTACTAAGATTTTGTTTTCAGACTCCATTTAATCATAGGGAAAAATTAATTCAAGGTCCCAAGCTCTAGGAAAGCTGGGAACTTTCCAATAGCCGAACAGCTTCTGTTGTAAGTAGACAGTTGTCTGAATCTAGACATCTCTGGAAAAATTCTTCATCTTCCTGACAGGTTCAAGAAAGTTCATGTTCACAAGCCCAGGAACTTCTCCAAATATTTTTTTTTTTTGTCATCTGGTAAGAATATAGAAATTGCTTATTTAAACCAAGATATATAAGCTATAAAACTATATAACCAACTGCCTCTTATGCCCTAATTAACTACGTGCAGCTGACCTGCTCCTTTGTTTCCCTTATCACTCTGAGCTCTAGACCAAATGTCTAGGAAATAATTAAGGGACTTGAGACCGGGTGCCCTGGATCAGGCCCAGCCTCCAACAGAAACTCCCTTGCTTATCCCATAATCTTAAAATTTGATTGGATGACCCTGACATTTACCAGTGCCCCCTTGCCTTGCCATTTACACCCGTTAAATATGCAATACAGCTTCCCCCCTGGGATGTAGTTCAGATCCCAAAAGTGGCAGCCTCCCTCCAAGAGCAGAAAATAATGCTTGCATTTTAAGCTTCTGTCTCTGAAGTGAGTTTTATCGGTTTCCACTCCGAACCCAACACCTCATGTACTCCTTCGACCAGGCAGGTTGAGACTTATGTGTGGATAAGAAGGTAATATCACAGTCTGAGTTCAGCTGTACATGTGGAAGACAACTTTTGGGAGTCAGTTTTCTCCTTCCACTTTGTTTCATGGCAGGGTCTCCTTACCTTGTTTCTGCTATGCTTTATACTCCAGGCTAGATGGTCTCAAGGTTCCAGATGATTCTCCTGTCTCTGCCTCTCATCTTGAAACACGAGTATTGTGATTACAGATGAATGCTTAACATCTAGCTTTTTTTTTAAAGAGTTAGTTTAAAGTTTGTGCATCACTCTGCGTGTAGGTATGTGCATAAGTGAATACTGGTGCCCCTGAAGTCCACAAGATGTTGGATCCTCTGGATCTGGAGTTGGAGATGACTCTAACCACCCGCCATAGATGCTGGAAACTGAACTCAGGTTCTCTACAAGAACAGTGAGAACATTTAACCACGGAGCCATCTCTCCAGCCCTAAGTTCTTTTTAAAAAATGAGTTCTGGGGATTGAACTCGGGTAATTAGGCTTGCAAAGCTAGCATTTTTACCAGCTAGACATCTTGCTTACTTGGTTGAGACTTTTGGTCCCTGGATAGATAAGGTCTATGTCCCTGCTCAACACAGAAATCTCACAAGGGTTTTCGGATCCTTGCAACCTTTAATAGATCAAAGTCTCAGAGGAGGAAATTGAGGCAGTATAGAAAGGGACAATTATGGGGACACAGGAAAAGAGCCCCTCACCCTGGAGTCTGACTGAAACCTCTTTCCAGTTGAAAAGCATTGTAGCACAAGTAATAAGATTTGCTGCATAGGTTGTCATCATTAAGGATACTATTCCCAGGCTGGAGAGATGGCTCGGAGGTTAAGAACACTGGCTGTTCTTCCAAAGGTCCTGAGTTCAATTCCTAGCAACCATATGGTGGCCCACAACCACCTGAGATCTGGTGACTTCTTTTGGTATGTAGGCATACATGCAGATGGAACACTGTATAAAAATAGTAAGTAAATCTTTTTTAAAAAGTTTATTCCTTTATATATAGATATGTTAAAATAGGAATGAACTAGACTTAAGGCCTGAATGTGTATAACTTTGGATAGGGATTGAATATTTTCTAGGAATCTCAAACAAGATAATTAACATTTAGAGTGAAGATAACCTAGCTCGACTTTTATTTTATCACTATAATCTGGATTATAATCCCCCAGAACTAATTTATGATATCATTAGGTTTCTTAGCAACTCTTTAAAGATCACAACTTCAGAACCTACTGTACTGTTTAGCTTTATGCCAATTTAACACAAACTGGAGCCATGAGAGAGCCTCAACTGAGAAAATGTCTCTATAAGATCTCATTGTAGGGAAGCCTGTGGGGCATTTTCTTAATTAGTGATTCATGGGGGAGGACACAGACCATGTGGGTGGTGTCATCCCTGGGCTGGTGTCTTAGGTTCTATAAAAGTGAAGAGGCAGAGCAAGGCCATGGAGAGCAAACCAGTAAGCACCACACCTTCACGGACTTGGTACCAGCCCCTGTCTTCAGGTTCCTGCCCTGCTTTTGATGAAGAACTGTTATATATAACTGTAAGTGGAATAAAACCTTTCCTCTTCAAGTTACCTTTGGTCATGATGTTTCATCACAGCAACAGTAACCCTAACTAAGACACCTACCAAAATCCTACATATGACTCTTCAAGACTCAAGGAGCTCATACCCACACTCTCAGATGTGTCTTAGTTTCTTCAGAGTGTCTCTATTTCTGTCTCAACCTTCATGCCTCTGCCTATATCAAATCATATTAACTAAACCCTGACTTTACTTCATGAAGAGACTTTAGATTTAAAGTTTTTTATTAAGCATCACATAATATGCACATGGTATATAATATGCTGCATAGCCTTCTAGCAGGAACAGATGACCATAGCTGAAAACTTTTTTTCAGCAGCCAGGAAAATGCTTCCTTAGTCAATATTCTCCAGGCCCTGTAAAAGAGTTTGAAAAAGAGAATCTGAGGATTCTGTTCCCATAAAAATGTAGCATGCTATTTCCAATGTCATAGATTGGCATTCTGTTATTAAAACTAGTGGTTTCACATCCCACATTTCTCTAACTGCAATAATATAAACTAAATTGGCTTCATAATCATTAAAGAATGACCACTAGACAATGACCCCAGCCCCTAGCTGCATCTGAGACAGGTTGTACTCAAACTCATTCACTTGCCTCTGTCCCCAGAACACTGGGATTAAAGGAGTGTGACACTACACTGTCTGTATTTTTTTTTTGTCAAGGTCTCACTCCCTATGTAACACAAAGTGAACTCCCAATCCTCCTTCCTCCAGCTCCCAAAAGTTAGGGTTGTGGGATGCAACACCGTATCTGGGCTACCTCATTTTCTGACAGCAGCATACATATTACTATATATGAAAAGCCCCTTCCTTCACCCTAACTGGAATTACAGTCAAGCAATTATTCACTTCCTGAATCCTCATATACAGTTCCCTCCATGAATTAGGACAAAACAGTAAACTGTCTCACAAAATAGCACTTGAACACAAGGTAAATTCTATTTTCCTCATTCAAATTTTTCATAATGATTTGGAAACTCAATGAAGTTAGAAATCACCTGATTCTGTCTCAAGAAAACAAAAACCACTTTCTTAAGTCAGACAAGTAGTAGCAGAGTCAAAATTCAGTAAAATGACCCCAACTCCAAAAATTTTGCCCCATAAACATTCAAAGACCTCCTAAAGTACACATAGTATTGCAAATCTGTAATCCTAATCCCAGCATGCAGGAGGTAAGGACAGGAAGTTTGCTTTGAGTTTGAGGCTACCATAATCTACACAGCAGGCTCCAGACCAGCTGGGCCTATATAACAAGTGCCAGACTCCAAACAAAAGCAATACCAAAACCAAAAAAAAACTTTCAGCAGGATAAATGAAAGCATGGAATACCAAGGGATAAACTTTTTAAAAGGCAGATACTTAATCTACCTTCATGTATATGAGATTTGATTCTGAGACGTCAAAGAACTGAGCCCCTGAGCGGTACTTTTTACTCATTCTAACCATGTCTTCTCATAAAAGGAACACAAAATCTACCTAGGTTCATTGTGGGGAGCCCATGAGGTCGGAGCAAGTAAAGAGATTTAAGAAACTGGAAGAATTATGAGGGTGAGAGGCACTTGCATGCAGACTTGGCAACATGAGTTGGAGTCCCAGATCCAACAAGGTGGCAGGAGAGAACTGACTACATTCAGATTGTTGTCTGACCTCCACACGAAACCTGCACTCACAAACTCAAAATGCACACATACACAAATAAATCTAAAAGGAATTATAAAGATAAAATGGTCTTACAAGTTATGAAAATATAGCATTAAGTTGATTAATGTTAAAATGCTACTTGGCTATTTTGACCTATAAAAATAAGCTTCACAGAATCCAACCATACATAAAATTATATTAATTCTTTTTTATGGATAAAAGACTATATACCTCACTAGTAAAAAAAATGCAAATTAAATGAGCACTATATGACCTTAGACAAGGCATTACCAGAACCCACAATCTCAGTCATCTTACCCTTGACACATGATAGCGATTGACTCCAGACACACGTCTATCTCGTTCCATCAAATACCATTGGTAGTGAAGTCGGGCAACTCGTTTTTCCTTCAAATAAAGAACAATGCAGTTTATAAACATGCGTGACCCAGTAAAAACATATATCTAACAAAATTTCTTAAATGAGGCACTAGGGGTTAAAGAGAGAGAAACTCTGTGGTTATGAGCACCTGCCTGTTATTCTGGGTGCTTCCCAGTACCAACATGGGTTATTGTGTGTGTGTGTGTGTGTGTGTTATAACTGCCTTTAACTAGAGTCCAGGGAATATTCATTCCCTTTTTCTACTCTTCATGCATGCATACAGAGAGCAACAGACACAATTTCACAAAAATAAGCCTTTGCAAAAAGAAACGATTTACTAGAAAAATAGAATCATTATTAAAATAAAAGCGAAATGTACAATACAAAGCCAAAATCTTCTACATAAAAACCACACTTCTTATATTTCCTCTTTCTTTTTCTTGCGGGGGGGGGGGGCACCACTGCCTTTTTTCTTTCTGTTTTTTTTTTTTTTTTCTCTTTAATTTTTTTTCTAACTGTTGAATAGATATTTTGCCTTTTGGGTCACTCTTCTTCAACAAATAACTAGCTACATTTTGGTAAAGTAAAAGGTGGAATCTGCAAGTCTCCGCTTTCAGGCAACACCAAGAGGAGGACTCACTTAAATGTCCTCACCTCCACAGAGCTGCTGCGCATCCAAAAGGCCACTGTATTTCACCGCACCTAGAACAACTCCGGTCCACAAAGCCCAGCCGTGTCTCCCTCGGCCGCCTTACCTTGCCCCCGTTGGTGAACTTGTGGATGTACGCAGTGGACACTCCGGGGATGATCAAGCACACCCCCATGACGGCAAGGCCAGGAAGAATCTCGAACCACATCACTGCACTGTGACTCACACGCCAAACTGTCACCAGCTCCTCAGAGGTGACCGGCTTTGCCTCATTTCCGGCAGAACGAGGAAGGGGCGGTGCCTCGTACATTTCGGGAGGAAGCGACGGCGGCTGCAGGGGCTCAAAAGTAACTGATGATCCTGGTCAGGCAACCATTCCCAGGCATTGTTTTCTCTGCTGTTCCTTGCCCTCCGGTCTGATTCACTGCCGCCGAGACCACAAAGCGTGACAGACAAAGCAAAGCGGCCCCGTACGCCGTGGCAGTTTCAGAGCTTGGTGATATCTAATGGCGGAGCAACTTTCTCCAGGGAATTCGACCGGTCAGGTGTGTACTTTCCTCTACAAAAAGCCTGGGCAGAAAGGAGCAGCGGCGGGTCGCCGAAAGCGACAGCTCTGTGATGCGGGATCCGGGGACAGCAGCAGCAGCAGTGACGAAGGCAGCGCTGTGGTCTGCCCGGAGAAGAAGCAGGCGACCCACAATCCGTTGATTCAGAAGATGTGTGGCAGCGGTAAACAGAAGGCGAACTAAGGTGGCTTGGAAGGTCTCAGCATGGTCTACAAGTCTACCCATTGGGCAAAACCCGTGGGACCCGAGAATATGGGTGTGACCACTGCCTAGGAACTGGGACACTGAGAAGGAGCGAGATGCACAGTCCATCTTTGAACGGAGCCAGAGGTCCAGGAGGAGCTGAGGGGCAAAGAAGACAGCAAGATCTATCGGGGAATCAATAATTATCAGAAATACGTGAAGCCCAAGGATACATCCATGGGCAATGCCTCCTGTGGGATGGTGAAGAAGGGCTCCGAGCATCTACATGCCACTGTGCAGTGGGACATCTGTAAGGACTACCAGGAGCTGCAAATTCCTCCATGACCGTTCAGATTACGAACACTGGTTGCAGGTCGAATGTGAGCTTGATTGAGCTTGATGAGGGTCGCTATGGTGTCTATGAGGATGAAAACTACGAAGTGGAAAGTGATGATGAGGAAATACCATTCAAGTGGATGCGCATCTGTCGCCAGAGCTTCCAAAACCCAGTAGTCACCAAGTGTAGGCATTAATTTCTGCGAGAGCTGTGCATTGCAGCATTTCTGCACCACCTCGAACTGCTCTCTCTAACCAGCAAACCAATGGCGTCTTCAGTCCAGTGAAAGAATTGATTGCTAAACTGGGAAAGCATAGAGCTGAAGTGGAGGGTGGTGCTTCTGATTTCTTAGAAGACCCCGAGGAGAGTCCAGTTTTCATTATTTAGATTTTTCATAATTCTCAGTCTCAAATATTTTATTGTTTCTTAAAATCTTTTGGAATCTTTCTTTTTTTTTTAAGGGAAGTAGCAGAGAAGGCAGGCGATGGAGTAGGGCTCTGGGTGAAAAGCTTCAAGACAGGTATTTATCTGTATTTTTAACCCTGAAATAAATATTCCACTGGTATTTTCTGAGCCCTATGGCATAAGTTATGTGGATGGGAGAAGTTCTTGAAAAAAGCTACGATTTACTCGAGGGAATCAAAGTTGTGATGAAATTAAGAACTGAACCTATTTATTATATCACATTTCTATAGTACTTAATAGTTCGGAAATTGTTTTAATGCTTTATGGTTTTGGGAGCAAGTACTGTTTTAAAATGCACATATGGAGGTCTTGAGTCAGTCCTTGATCTCTTTGAGAGTGTTTCTTGCAACATGCTCACTTTGAAGCACCTATAGGTAACCCCTGTTTCCACAGATGATGGATGTGCTCTTTGTTGAGCTAATATGATAGATACTATCCTCATGTGGCTGTCAAGTGCTTGGAATATGCAGGTGACCACTGAATAGGATATTGCACTTAAATGAATTTGTGAACTTGGAGATGGCAAAAAGCCCAATGTTTTGTAATCCATAATCTGAAACTATCCCTGTTCTCATAGTCTCAAATAGGACTAATCACACCTTGTTAAAATTAGTGTCCCTGTATTCACAATCGTTTGGGAACTAGTTTAGTGCTTGGTGTATAGTAAGAAATTAATACGAGGAAAAAATGTTTTAAGATGAGGAATTTCGATCAAAGCTTTGAATCCACGCTGAAGAGTTTTAAGTTTTATTCTGTAAGTAATGGGGAGATGAAAACGACAAATACATTTGAGGGAAGACAGGCCAAAACGATTAATCAATATTTTAGTGATATAACTAGAATTGGGTTGGTATAAGGAAATAGATAAAAGTATAAATTGAGTTAAAGTAGACTTTATTCGTATTTATTAATCCATTTAAAGATATTCTTTGAAGAGACTTTCTTAGGCACTGTGTTTAGGATAGGGGCTAAAAGCAATGAATAAAATAGACACAGACTGAAAATTCATAGAGCTGTATAGAGAGTAACTAATGTGAGTATGGGAAAAGAGTATATTGAGTTGATCTCAGAATTAACCTAATCTCTTAGGATGGTTACTTGGCACAGTGGGTGGAGGCACCTGCTGCCAAACCTGACCATTGAATTGGACCAACATAGTGGAGGGACACAGTTGACTCTCAGAGATTGGCCTCTGCTCTTCAAGTACCATAGAGAATGAAGTAAATAAAATGTAAAGGGGAAAATAAGAGCCCAATCCGGGGGCTGGGGAAATATGGTTCAGTGAATAAGCAACTGCCTGGAATGCCCAAGGTGGTGGGGGGGGTGGCAGGGAATAATTGAAACCCAGCCTAGGAGTTCACAGACATGAAGTCACTTAGGTGTGTGTGTGTGTGTGTGTGTGTGTGTGTGTGTGTGTGTGTGTGTGTGTGTATGGGTATCATATGTCTATACTGCCCCTTTGAAAGTGATAAGAGGGCATTAGATCTCCTGAAACTGGAATTAAGGGCACTGATGAGTTCATATGTGGGTTCTCTGCATAAACAGCAGGTGCTTTTAACTGCTGAATCATCTCATGAGCCCTCTGAACTCACATGATAGAATAAGATCAGTTTTGTAGTGAAGAGTACACGTAACTGAGATATATGAGTAGTTTACAAGAAAGGAAGGTTGAGAACACATAGAAAATAACATTTAAGAGATGAACAGAAGAAACAGTTAAATAGGAAAGCAAAGGGGCTATTGTAGAGAAAAGCAGAGTGTACAACCATGCAAGGCAAAGGAGGAAGAAATGTTATAGAAATAAATAGAGCATGGGCCAACATGTTTCAGTGGTTAAGAGTGCTTGCTGTGAAGGCTTAAGGACCTGAGTTCAAATCCCAAGCACCGAGATATAAGAAGCTGCGCATGATTACACATCCCCCAGCTTTGTGGGAACAGAAACTGGAAACCCGGGAACTCATTGGCCAGTCAGCCTAGACAAAACGGTGAGTTTCCAGTGCATGGAGAGACCCTGTCTCCAAAAATAAGGTGAAGAATAAAGCACTGGGGAATGGCCCAGTGGCTAGAAGTGGTTGCAATTCAAGCCTGATGACTTGAGTGTCAATCACTGCAGCTCTTGAGAAAACAACAGTGCTGTGTGAATTCCAACAGTCCTGTAACAAAATGGGAGGTGGAGACAGTGGAATCCTCTGGAAGCTCAGGGACCAGCTAAACAGAGTATACAGAACAACAAACGAGATACCCTGCCTCAAAAACAAGACAGTAGTTAAGGGTGTTTACTACTCTTCCAGAGGACCCATGTTGGGCAGTTCACAACTGCCTGTTACTTCAGGCCCAGGGTGCCCTCTTCTGGCATACTTGTGCACAGACCTTTACACAAGCATTCCTACATATATATGCCACAGAAACATAAACACACAAATACGCACATACACAGAAGTAAATGTTTTTAAAAGATGGAGACTAGTGTTTTAGTATCCCCCTCCCACAGTAAAAAAATAAATGTAGATTTTCAAAGGATGAAGAGGACCAGCAAGATGGCTCAGAAGGTAAAGAGGCTTTCAGTCAAGCCTGATGACCTGAACTGGATGTCCCAGTCCCTGTGGTGGAGGAAAAGAAGCAGCTCCCACAGGTTGTCCACTGACCTTTACATGAGCACGATTGACAAGCCACCCCATCCTTAGCACAATATAAAAAATGAATGTAGTTTATGTGCTCTTCATGGTAGAGAGCAACAGAGAAAACCACCTGACATCAAACTGTGATGGAAACACACACACACACACACACACACACACACACAAGTATATAGTAGAATTTTGATGAGAAGTATGGAAGTTCTTAAAAGATTTGTTATGTTTATTTTACATGCATAGGTGTTTTGCCTGCATGTATGTCTGTGTACCATGCACATGCATTGTCCTTGGAAGCCAGAAGAGGAGATCAGATCCTCTGAAACAGGAGTTATAGACCACTGTGATCCACCATATGGGTTTTGGGAATCAAACTCGTCCTCTGAAAAAGCAGCCAGTTCTCTTAATTACTGAGCCATCTCTCCAGCCACCCCCCCACCCCCTGCCACCATAGTGTGGAGTTTAAGGCTCCACTCCAACTACCTCTTGTGTTCCAGAAGATAGCACCTATTATACAGATTTATTTCAGCTAATGCTTGATTAATTTGATCCAAAAAAAAAAAAAAAAACACTCCAGGGCAGGCAATGTGAGTGGGTCGAGAAGGTATGAGAAGGTATGTGCTGCAAAGCCTGAGGACTTGAGTTCTATCCCACATGATCACATGATAGAAGAGAATCTTTCCCTGTAAGTTGTCCTCTGACTTCCACATACATGTCCTGCACTCAAGAACACACACACACACACAAACACAAACACAAGAGACCTACATGTTCAAGGCTAGTCTGATCTACATAGTGAGTTCCAGGCTGGTCAAGGTGACATAGTGAGGCCCTGTCTCAAAAAAATCAAAACAAAACGGGAGCGATGATGCACACCTGTAATCCCAGCACTCTGGGAGACAGAGGCACATGGATCTTTCTGTGAGTTCGAGGCCAGCCTAGTCTACAAAATGAGTCCAGGACAGCCAAGGCTACACAGAGGAACCCTGTCTCAAAAATAAATAAATAAATAAACAAACACACATACACAGGCACACATGCATGCACACAGACAAACTAAGTTAAAATGTAAAGCAAAAACATTTAAAGTGGAAGT